TTGATTCGGTTGCCAGTGAGTTTATCAGGAAGAATACACGGCTACAGTACACGTCAGTTGAGCGCTGTCGCTCTGCGGCACTCGTTTGTATTGTGATTCTGACCACTTTTTCCACCATTGTACGCACTCTCTCTTTCTTTCTCTCATCACACACCTTACTACACAATAAAAATTCCTTTTTGTTGCTGCCCCACCGCCTCATACTTTACATCAACTTCTCGTGAGCCACTTATTTCTAGATGAGTCGCCCTCAGCCTCTTGGCATGTGATTATTCTGACATCTCTCCTCAACTCAATGTGTTCATTAAGGTAACGATGGTTTGCATTCCCAGTATGTTCACAAAGATTCTAGAGGACCAATCTCAACCAACTGATGGTGAGGAACATCTGGCTGTGCTAACTGCTGCGGAAAGGTGAGAACTTGCATAAGACTTGAGGAAGAAGCAATGCTACGGGCATTCTTGCATGCTTCATTGAATTCGTATGTCTGTACTCTTGCATCATGCACGTTATACCAATCGAGTATGATAAATATTCTTTTCTTTTTGCTTTTCAGGACAGTGTGGGCACAGACGAGGATTAAATATTTCCGCAAAGGACTCAACAAGCACTCACTGGATGTCATAGAGAAGGCTGCTTTCGTTGTTTCGCTAGACGAGGAAGAATTTCAATACGATCCTGTAAGACTCAGTATAATTACTAATAGCTAGCACTGAGCAGTTACTAAAAACTGCAGGTATGGTTTAATTGAAGTCCCTGCTTGGCAGAGTTTTGAGAAGGGGTGTTAATGATGCAATCAAGAACACATAAACCCTGACGAAACGATAATATACCGATCATATACTCGAACAATGGTAAAAACTGAAAACCACGTCTCAAGTGTTAACTCAAAAGTCGGGGTTTATACGGACTTCTAGCTTGGCTTAGGAACGTGACAGGGACTAATCAGGGGCATGCGGTTTGTCTTATTAAATGGAACAAGCATAGCTGATTAGTAATAAACTAATACATTGTTCAAAATACGTACGTAACGTTAGTCGAATCGACTGAAATTAAGGTTTCCGTTTTTATCCTTGTTTGCAAAATAGTCTTTAGGTTTATGTGCTCTGGATGTAATGAATTGTATATCGTAATGTAGAAATAAGAACCAATAATGTAGCTATTTATAAGCTTATATTTGCTTGTGGCCTACATTAAGTTATCTAGCATGTAATGTGGGGTTAAATCATCAATCCATGATTACAAGGTTTGTTGAGCATTAAAAATCGAAAGTCAGATAGGTTTATTGAACTCAAGAAGGCTTTTTTTGGGTAATGACAGCATAGTGGCACGCACATACTTATTTCCTATGCCCGCAGAATGATTCAAGTCAAATGGACCAGTGGGCGAGTCACCTGCTTCATGGAAACTGTTACAACGTCTGGTTCGATAAGAGCTTCACCTTTATCATTCTAAAGAATGGTCATGTTGGCATAAACGTTGAGCACTCGTGGTAGGTTTATCTACAGCTACATTTGTATTTTTTAACTCGTAGACATTCAGTGATTGATAACGATTTATACGGAATTATCTTCCAACAGCTTAGCATTAGTGTCACATGATTTTATTTGTTTTCTTCAAACCACTTTGCATCACCCAGGCACAATGCTGTAAAGGTTTTCTATGCCTACAAAAATACTTTTGTTTTTAGCTCACCTTGACATCGTCAAGCTGAGCTATTGCCATGGGTCGTCGTACGTCTGTCCGTCCGTCCGTCAACATTTGGCTACGGTCAATCGATAACTCAGCTGATATCCGTTTGACCCACGATGTGTTAGAAAATTGGTTATTGTTACTGCTATGCTCCCATATTGAACCCAGTCTATTTGGAGGCACGCGCAGTCGACGTACTTTTCGAGCCATCGTGGGCAATTTTTTGCGAAAAATGGGAATTTGCCATTAGTTCAGTTCAGGTTCAACGGATTTGCTCATTTTTGGTATGTGAATGAATAAGGGCTAGGGGTTTTGATATTTAACAAAAATTATGCAAATTAGGTAGGTTTTGGCAATTATAAAGGCATATTATATAGCCACAAACAGTCGTGGTGTCACACTCGCTCTGGTTCGTTTTACAAGATTTCATTGACAATATCTTAATGCAAAATTGTATTTCCTCTCCACCCTGCGCGATAAACGTCTATATTAGAGTAAAGTTTTTACAAAACATTTTGAACCAGCATAACCTAATTACGAACGCCATGCTAAGAAACATCAAAGCGGATAGCGCCATCTACCGTCACAATTGGTGATCATTTTGGTTTATAATTTATTGCGAGTATATACAGACTGGCAACCGTGTTGCTACGGCCCTAAAACTCGTACGAAGTAAACATAGGAGTTCTCCCAGTCATATACTCTCCGTTTTATAATCGATGGTTGCTCAATAAAACTGACTTCTTCTCACTCACTCATTGTGTCTTTTTTGTGGTGAGCTACAGTGTCATTGGACACTTTCATTTAAATTGGTACCCTTTTCTAAAATGCTAAATGCATTGGTTACTACTTACTCGAGGTGAATGTTTTTGCAATGTACATAAGGCCATTTTATTAATTTTAAAAAGGCATATTAAGGATAATTAGTTAACTTAATCTTAGCGGTTAATCTGTACGCTGTTTTCAGTGAAATGGCTATTCCTAGGATGAAAAACGTTTTGCATTTGTATGGTTTTTTGCCATTAAAAAAACCTCATCATAGATAATCGTCACATTTTAACGTGATATACTAACAAGCATGGCTTTTGTTGTTGACATCTTCATTTCCTCATGTATTTACTACCAGTCCAATGCATGTATTTTTCAGATCTTGGAAGCTTTGTTAATACATTAAAATGCATGCTTTTCTAATATCAGGGAGATGCCCTAAAAATGAATGCTTTTCTAATATCAGGGGAGATGCCCCTAAAAATGCATGCTTTTCTAATATCAAGGGAGATACCCTAAAAACATTGCTTTTCTAAATATCAGGGGGAGATGCCCTAAAAATGCATGCTTTTCTAATAATCAAGGAGATACCCCTCCTAAAAATGCATGCTTTTCTAATATCAGGGAGATGCCCCTCAAGCTGTGGACACACTAGCAATTTTTCAGCCGATTGAGTCAGGCGACTGAGTCGGGGCGACTCAATCGCCTGAAAATTGCCTAGTGTGTCCAGTGAGTCCGCCGGCGATTTTTGAGTCGGTGACTCGAATCAATGACATGTTTGATAAATCGGGCGATTATTTGAGTCGCGGCGACTACATCGCCTAGTGTGTCCGGGTCGCCGATTGTATACATTTATCAGCCAATCAACGGTGCCATTTTTCAATCAACTGCTGACTATCAATCTATGTGGCACGAGTGTTTTAGTGTTGCAGCGGGAGAAAAATCGCCGATGATTCGCGCTGAAATGTGTGTCCACTCAGTCGTCCGGCTCAATCGCCTGAAAAATCGCGTAGTGTGTCCACAGCTTTACATTGCTTACCTGGGTGAGATGGTGTGCGAGGTGAGATGCTTAACGTTGATGAGTTGCTACACACGGTTCATGTTCTCGAAGTGTCCGCCATGTTTACCTTGTTTTTTGTGGGAGAGTTGTCTGCTTTATACGTCATATTTTTGTTTTGTAGTAGTGCATTTTGTGTAGAGTACAAGACTATAACTTCTCTATGAAGTGATTTGTATCACTGTAGGATAGTATCATATACTGGGGGACTCTTCGTTGCTGGCATTATTTTTGGTTACCTTTTTGGTGAGCATAGGGTTGACATCGTAACAGTAGTTTAGCATTTCCATTTGTAAATGGTGCCACATATCAGCGTGGAAAATGCCAAAGATACAAATCTCTTGTAGCTGGCTGTGTACCGTTGATCGCGTTGGTGGTAACTTACCCTGAAGTCCCCATATACCAATACATCTGGGCATGATGAGAAGTACGTGCATATGGCTGGTAGTGGCTCTGTCGGTGGCAGTCAACATGGGATGTAAACAAACAAGGTGATTTTAGGCATGTTTTCAGACTTACCCACTGTGGTGAAAACTATAAACACCTAGAATATTTAGAGCTTGCGTTTTCCTTGATCCATGTAGTTGATTGAGTAATTATTTTATGGATTTTTCATAATTCTATTTTTTGCTTATTTCCTATTATTCCAATATTTCCTATTGATATTTAAACTTTCTAAATATGGCCTGGAAACATCTTAATCTTTGTGCTGACGATGGGGCATTTATGATGGGTTTTTTAATAGTGTTGGATACATCACAATTTTTGTAATTTTTCATGTCTGTATTTAGAATGCTACTGATTGGATAGATTTAGTGTGTGTGCGTGTGTGCGTGCATGTGTGCGTGCGTGGTGCGTGTGTACGTGCGTGCGTGTGTGTGTGTTTCCTCTGTTTTATGTGTGTGCATTTGTTCTATCATTGTTTTATGTCTAAGCTCTACTGCTGAGTGCATGCAATTCCTCAATTTAACATATTTCTCTGTCCCAACCTTTATCTCTCAGCAGCTTATTAAACTGTACCTGTCTAACTAGTCGTTTATGGTAACATCTCCTTTCACCTAACTCTGGCTTCTGCTCGCATCCAACTGCTTGGCTTCACTTTTACTCACTTCCTACCCCGTTCATTTTAATATGATCCTATATTGAAAGTCTCCGATTTCCGTCTTACCTTGTACCACCTCTAGGGCTGATGCGCCAATCACGGCTTATATGTGGGAAGCCACCTTGCACAAGGACAGCAGAGTAGTGAGGTAGGTATATTGTGGTATAATTGTCTATATGATTTATATTGGTTGCTGTGTTACAAGTATTATCTAGATTAGGAAATGGTATTGATCTTGTGTTTGTGTTTAAATATAGAGAAGAGTATTGATTGTTATTGATTATTGTAATGCACCATCCTAACGTGGAGTAGTATATTGTGGACAATACTTATTATGTCTATAATTAAAATAAATGTTAAAAATTTACTTGACAAACACGGTGTGATAATTATATGCAGTTCTTCTGGTAACCATTGCCAGTCATTAGTTAAATATGTGTAAGCCTTGGTTTTGTGTTGTTTCTTTCGGATTAGATACAAAGAGGATGGTCACTGCCACGGAACTGTGAGAGATAACCTGCCACCAGTAACCAAGCTGAAGTGGGAGCTTCCAGACGAGGTATGTGTGCGTGCGTGTGTGCGTGCCTGCGTGCGTGCGTGCGTGCGTGTGTGCATGCATGTGTTAGTGTAGTAACTCACTGCAAGAGTCTGATGTTGGCCAACGCAGGCGTTATTGCAGGTACTGGTTTGTGTAGGTGCATAGGAAGTGTTTAGGTGATTCTAGTTGAGCCAATAACTAACTTGGGTACTATATGCTGATGGTTGAAAATAACCCTAGACTTGGAAATTAAAAATAGATGCTAGTTCTTCCGAGTGTCTTTAATTATAAATCATATATATATAAATATATATATATACGTCGTTATTTAATGCCTGCGTTCACTGTTGTGTTGTGGTGTGTGTTGGCAGTGTGTAAAAACGATTGAAAGCCAACTTGTAGCTGCTCAAAAGCTGGCCAATGACGTTGATCTCAAGTTGATCATTTGGAGCGAGTGGGGAAAGGGCTTCATAAAGAACTGCAAGGTTAGCCCTGATGCATTCATCCAGATGGCCCTGCAGCTGGCTTACTATAGGGTAGGTATTCACAGAGATAAGATGCTGTCTATATGTTTTACCAGTTGGCTAAATGAATGCTCTTCTAAGTGTTCCTTTTTTGAAACAACAGTTTTTTTACTGCCTCCATGCTCTGGCAAGTACCATTTTGTATTACTGTGCACATATCTGGCTGGACACGATATAGCCAGGCATAATTAAGCAATGGCCTTGAAAATTTGCATTATGTATACAAAAAAATATAGTCTATCATGACGTGTCACAAGTGTAAGTGTTTGGGTATGAGTGAAACGTGTGCATGTACATGCTGCAGGATTCTGGCGAGTTCAGCTTGACTTATGAAGCCTCGATGACTCGTCTGTACCGTGAAGGTCGTACCGAGACTGTTCGCCCAGTTACCATGGAGTCCTGTGCTTTTGTTAGAGCCATGGAGGATCAAACAACATCGGTATATTGATGCTTTCCTTGTACTAACGCTAGTCACATGAGAAGGGAAGTCCACAGGAGAATGGGCACAAGATAATATAACATGCACCCCTCGAAAAACCCAGGGCCCATTCTCAGAAACAAAATTAAAGTAGTCTAACATTAGTCTTAACATTAAAACTTTTTTCATAGACCATTGACAGAAACATAGTAAAATGTCAAGTTTCTTATACGTAGTGTATAGCGGTCTGGTCTGCGAAAAAAAGTTAGTGTAAGACTAATGTTAAGATTAATTTTGTTTCTGACAACGGCCGTTTGTTTTTTAGCTCAGCTGAGGAAGTCAGATGCAGCTTGTAGAATCGCATGATTGTCCGTCCGTGCGTCCGTCCGGCCGTCCGTCCGTGAACAGTTGGGCACAAATCTTAACCGCTCGACGTACGGTCTTGATATTCGGGACGTCGGGGGGGATCGCGAAAAGGACTCGGGATGTCGAATTTGGGGGTCAAGGGTCAAAGGTAGAGATGTGTTAATGGAGGGGGAATATTTCCCCCTTAACTTAAGGTATAGGAGGAAATACGGAATTGCGGCACAAATCTCAACGGCTCGACCTACGCTCTTATAATATTCGATGTATAGTGTGATGGGGAGGATCACCAGCGCGAAATTGGAGGTCACAGGTCAAAGGGCAGTGGGGGAAAAGTCAGATATCAGACATTTTCTGAGGACATGGTCTAACGGACCAAGTGCAAAACTTTTTTGTTTCAGCGCTGATCTACCATTTTTATCACTTTATTGAAAGGGCCATGAAATCTACTTTCCGCTGACGTGCGAAGAGTAAGTGTCTGATAACCTTTTGACCCTCAAGAGAGGAGGGTTAAACATGGATTTGTTGACTGTTAACAAAGGACTGAACTGCTTTTGCTATTAGAGCCCCCCCCCCCCTATCACCATCACCACTACGCTCGCGCTCGACGCATATCCATGATAACATTGATATAGCGAAGTCATTAAAGTTACACAGCTATATCTTTATTACTGTACTACCGGTATAGCAAAGCCTATCAACGCGGTGGTGTGAGGGCACACTGGATTCGGTTGCCAGTGAGTTTATCAGAAGAATACCCGGCTACAGTACACGTCAGTTGAGCACTGTCACTCTGCGGCACTTGTTCTAATTATAGTGTAGAGGCAAACCTCGAAAAAGGTACTTTTCTCATTGCTGGGGCATCTTTTTTAAAATGTTGTCTAGACATGGATCATACCAGGGTTCGTGTGGTATCTGGAAAACCTGGAACATCCTGTGGTTTTTTTTAGTGGAAAGTCCGAGAAAATAGGCTATTATTATATTTAGTTCTGGAAGGTCCTGGATACTGAACATGTGTCTATTGTGTCCACATTTCACCAATGATAATAATAAGTTCAATGTACTGAAGAGATTGCCCTGTTTACTGTTTGAAAGGCATTAAAACATGATCGTGATTGTTGTTATCAGACTGTTAGCACTAGGATATCGATGTTGGTAATTACAGACTGGGGAGAGGATTACGTTGCTGCGCGCTGCCTGCGAGGTGCACACGCAGCGCTACAAGGATGCAATGCTTGGTAAGGGAGTAGACAGACACCTGTTCTGCCTTTACGTCGTGTCTCGCTACCTGGAGGAGGATTCCAAGTTCCTGGAGAAGGTTCTCAGTGAACCGTGGAAGCTGTCAACCAGTCAGGTAAGATTTAGAACCTCTACTACGTCTAATACCTCTGACATTTATCACATCATATGTTTGTCCTTCTCTGCCAGTTGCACCTTTTTTTGTCTTCATGCATGACTATTTTGATCTGTTTTTCGTTTTTTCCATCATCTCCGTTTCTTCACATATTTGCTGTTGTACACCAGTCTGGCCTATTCTATGTCTTTCCGTGATTACCCTTCTTTAGCCTTTATGACCTGAGTGACCAGATTCCTTTTAAACTGTATGTCAACGTTGAACATTGTATGGTAATATTCTCACTGTTTTATTCATTTTCACTCTTGGTGCAATCAATGCAGTCAGCAAAAAGTCTGATGTCACACTTTCCTATCACCCATATCTGTGTGCACTTGCCTACCAACCAGGTCTTCATATGGACATGTATAGCTTATATATATATATAAGATACTTTCATCTGTGACAGACACCGCACTCGCAGACTAACAAGTGGGACTTCAGTAAGACACCCGAGTACGTGTGCGCAGGTGGAGGGTTTGGGCCGGTAGCAGACGATGGTTATGGCATTTCTTACATCGTTGCTGGCGAAGACTGCATCTTCTTCCATGTCTCATCAAAGTTATCGTCACCGCTAACTGTGAGTTCCTGGCAGCTACGTGTGTTAGCGTGTTGTGAGTTATAGCTTGGATGTGAAGTGGTTGGTAATGATAGGTGTGTGTGGCGGGAGAGGTGTAGACGGGTCACAGGGGAGTTCTAGCTAGTGGGATTCTCTACAGCGTGTTCTATTCTTTCTTCGGTCGCTACAGTTTTCCAACTAAATAGTGCCAATAGATGGCATGACATCTGTGTTTAAGGAACAGTTGTAAAAAGCGTGGTTGAACTTGAAGGCAGTAAGTCATTCTACAGAAGTGACGCCAAGTAAATGTCAGTTTAACTAGTCAAGCCACCTGTTGACAACAGAGTTTATAATCAGGTATTTAGTATTAGCTAGAAGAGAACATAATCAAATACGATTCTATTTATTGGCTAATAATTTCAAAAAGCAATTCGGATGTCATAAATGTACAGAAATATGTACAGATGTGCTATCAATACGCCAAATATAGTTATTGCATCGTGCCTGCACCATGGTAGTAAACTGTGCAAGAATGATTAGAATGTCTCCCTGTGTGACCTTAGTTTTTACTGAAACCAGTGATGACTCGGCATGCTCGTGATTAGCGTGGGAGGCCCACTTCCTTATATCCAAGCCCCAGGGGAGGCCACACCAGCTGAGAACATGATACCTACTAGGCTTGGCTCAGCTGGCAAAGCAATCCGTGGCAGTTGATGTTCCCACCAGTAGCATGTTTGGGAATGGGCTCACATGCAACACAGCAGCAGTAAACCCATGGTTTGCTTCGTAGGTTATGTTATGGCAAGTTGATCTAGCGGCAGTGAATCACCAGCTGTAGCAGGGTGCTGGTCAGATCAGGGTAACTTTTTTCCAGTATTTTGTATTTCCGGTTATTTCCAGTACACTGTCATTTCCTTGTTATGTTTGCCAAACCTGCTGGTTTAACTCTAAACAGGAAAGTGCTTATATATGTCCTTTGAGGGGACACGACTCAGGAGGGAAATTTCAATATGAAATCCTGTGTGAATTCATGACCTTCCCTGTTTATTAGATTTAGATTAAACTTGTGTGTTTGGTTTCTTCATTGGTCTATGTAGCCTTATATAAATCTATTCAATAGTGACATTCACACTTCATTTAGCTGGCTAATAGATAGCAGAAGCTAAGGTAGCCTACTGTGATGCATTCATTCAAAGTAAAAATGAATACACAATATTTTTTTAGAATGGACAAATTTAATGTTTTGTTATCTTATTGTAAAGGTTTTTTAGATCTGGCTAGAATCCTTTACTGCAATGTACGAAAGACTCCAGTACTAACTGTGTAGTTTTATATTTAGACATTTAGGTTTACTATTGGTTAGTACTATTCCAGGATGTCATTAGCCTTGCTTAGTCACCAGTGTGTGTTATGGGAGGTGGTTTGATTACACAGACTCCGGGAGTCCTGGTGATTCATTGCTAGTCAGACACAGTAAAGCTGAATGCATAGCTGAAGCACTAGTGGAGTAGGCATCTTGCATGCAGCGTAGTCAGCAGCTTGAGTCGCACATCCTCTCATCTCCCCCTACTGAAGCTATCCACTGTTTATCCCTGCTGAGCAATAATATAAGAATCATCGGTAGCTAAGCTGACACGGTGCGGGCATGATAGAGGACACTGCGAGATGCTAGAAGTTCTCTGCAAAGTGCATAAGCAGACGTAGACATGATTTAATAGGTGGCTGTGTTGCTAGCTTGGGAGTTTTGTTGATTCGAAGTGCACATGATTCGTGTGATGGCTTCATAAGGAGGAGTCATAGGAATGTTGTGAGAGTGGAAAGCTTTAGGACGTTCCCACATATAAGAGTTGTGTGGAAAGAATTGCGTTGTCCCTTCTATAGTCACTAGTTGGAGAGATATGCAAAATAGGTAGATTTGCTGATTCACTAGGTTGTTGCTGTTGTTATTATTATTGTGTGTGTGTGTGTGTGTGTGTGTGCGTGTGTGTGCGTGCGTGCGTGCGTGCATGCATGTGTGTGTATTGATCATGGTAGTAACATTGCTCATTTATCAGCATACACACCTTACTTGGTATCATAATTCCTTGTCATGGTCTGTCATTCTGAACATGTCAGCATTTCTTAAATGATGTGCACATTTTCGGTAGATTAAATATGCTAAAATTTCACATTTTTACAATTCTCAGCAATCCGTATGCACTCAAAATTGTTTCAGAACTCCGAACGAATGCGAAACAACATTATCAGAGCCGTCGGTGATCTTAGGACCCTCTTCGATTTGACGAATGGAAAGTGATAATCCAAACTGCGACCCGTCCTGCCACTATTGTGGGATTCACTCAAGGTGTGTGGATTACTAGGTAAATGGTTGGTAAAGTGGAGGTTATCTCGAGGTAACATGGAATAATGATACAGACCATGTAGGTGATGAATACGTTGAAGTTAGGTAAAGTATAATTTTGCTGGCTTCTCGAGAAATTTGCAATTATTGATAGCACTCCATTGACTTGTGCTCAAGGAAGTTGTGAATTCATGTATAGTTGAGTGCACTTTATTGTATACATTTGTATTGATATTGTATTTACATTTGTATTACTATTTTGGAAGGTATATAATTAATATTTTATGGTGCACCGTTATAACTCTGTTTTTGCTCTAAAGCCATGTTTGAGGAATGGCCAAAATGTTTTATGCTCTACTATGTGAAGATTTTTGTATGCGGTTCATTCTTATGCATCACAACGTGCAATTTTATAAAGTATTCACGTCCTTATAGCTCAGCAACGACCAATGCAAAGTTTGTAATAAATTCCCCCACACCCGCATACTATTATTTCGTATTATGTACGTTACATTGCTATTATTATGTACTGCATCCCTATGGTTGTACTGAAGGTTGCAGTAATGTTGTTATAGGTGGCTAACTAGGTGTTACGTAATGTTGCCCTCTCGTGGTGTCGCGTGAATGTAAAGAGATGTGCAGGCCCGAGGCTGAACCTCCGATACAATAGACGTTATAACAAAACGCTCACCAGAATTTTCGTGTGCCAGGCCTTTTGTTTTTGCTTTCGTGTAAGTTCTCTCTATATCAGCATTTATAAAATTTGATTTCTTTTCCTATAATTCACACTGAAATGGGTTTAAACTTTTTTTGCTGCAGCGATATAAAACTGCTATGCAGTTACTGGACAATTTCTATATGTGTGCATGTGCGTGTGTGCGTGGGTATGCGCGGGTTCGTTTTGCGTGCGTATGTGTTTGAGTGGAATGGGTGCGTTTCCAAGCAGTAGAGTGTAGCTAGACTGTGAGTAAGCAAATTAAATGTGTATTTGATGTGTGCGTGGCGTGTGCGTGCGTGCGTGCATGCGTGCGTGCGTGCGTTTGTCGTGTCGGGTTGGGTTATAAGTGAGTTTGTAAGCATTATTAAAGGTGCATGTACGGTGAGTGAACAGGTAACGCCTTGCAGATAAGAGGTAACGGGATGTAGATGGGGTGTGTGAGCAGGTAGGATACATGAGCAGGCGTCAGGGTGTATATGAGCAGGTAACTTGGGTAGGTAACCAGGCAACGTAATATCTGCAAAGAACCCGATACGTAAGAAGGCGTTTGGTTACAGGAAAGGTCTGTGATCGGGCAATGCGGGGAACGTAGTGTATGTGGGGGTGGGGGGGGGCAGGCGGCACCCTAACAAGGTTTAAGCTCAGTTGAGCAGAAGTCGGAGTTCGCGAGAAGTGGGCGCGCGTATCCGATGTCGGAGAGAAGTGGAGGCGATGTAGCTCCCACGTCTGTCATCGGGCTCTCCGTGTGGCCTCTGCCCCGTCGCTGGCCTGCCTGTGCGTCATGGCCTAGCTACGTCGTCGTAAGCCCTACGTCGCCGCCACACCTTAAAACGGCCTCACAGATCTTTCCAGTCTGCTGCCCACACTGAATGTTCCCAGTTGCTGAGTATCACTGGTACTGCCGTGTGAGAAAACACCGCGAATGTCACATTTTGGTAAATACGGTTTTCGGTGGCGAACAGTGTGAACTTTAATTGTGTCAGACGATGTAACAAGGGGCGGGATGTAAACCAAGTGCGGGGCGGCAGTTTATGCCTTAAAAACAAGTGTTTAACGGCGTGTCTTCGCTGTGCAGAAATTTATTTCGATACTATGTATTAACTTTAGTTAATCTGGGCTGTTTTATGTATGTACGTCTGTCGAATAAGCTTTTAACGGCTACAAGGTTTGTATTACGCAGTTAGTGATATCGGGAATGATATATATTGATATATTCATACAACTTCGCTGTGTCTGTGTTAATTTTGGGAATCCATATCGGATTTGGTCTAAGCATTTAGATCTCAAACAGTTTATCGAGACGAGAATCTTCTGCATTTGCGCACATTAGGATATTTATGGCATGGTATTATTATATAGTTGTCTGTTGCGTTTTAAAATTGAGCATTCGCGGTTTGTGTTTTGTTTCCGTTAATGAAATTAAAATTGTTTCGTATTTAACAGTATGCGTTACCCTGTACATTGTCATATTCGATTTATTTGAATTATCAATGATATTTAAATGGCCACCACCGCCGCCGCCGCTGAGAAAACGCTACTAATGTTGGATAGATATTGGTTATATTAGGAGTGAATAATAATAGATTCTCTATTATTATTCACTCCTGGTTATATTATATGCCAGGCGAAATGAAATATACATACTGTTGTTCGCCGGATAGTGTTAGTCATGCAGATTGCTGTTGTGGGAAACCATACAAGGTCGCGCGAAGGACAGACACATGACAACGCAAGTTGGATTGACTAGCTCTTCTTGCTCGTGCTAGCTAAATTTGAGCGCAGACCGAGAGCCCATAAAATTCATAGAAATTAAGAATAATGTAGCAGACAGAATATCGCCGGAAAGAACGTTCGAGACGAAAAACGTGCGGCACTTGTAATCAGATAGTCGCGCCGTCAGCTGGTGCAGTCAGCTGTGCTACTGCCTGCTAGCAGGATATCCCCCTCACACGTGCCCCGCACACCGCCGCAATATTCTCATACGCGCCGAACGAATACCAAGCCCGCGCTGTTCCTCGCCCGAAAAACCCGCGGGCGCGTAAAAAGCGTCCGCGTTGAGAATTTAATTTGAGCGTGTAAGACAGGGGGTGGGTAACGTCGGGTGTTGTATTTTCGGCAGGAGCGTGCGCGCGAGGTTGGGGAGGAGAAGGAGGAGGAGGAGGAGGAGGAGGAGTAGGAGTAGGAGGGGCGGTGGAGTCATCGCGCAGCCTGCCCAGGTCAGCGGACTGTACTGGCGGCGGTACGCACCGTGCGCGAACAAAGAGCGACAAGGCGCAGCCAAGCGCGCGTCTGGCCGAGATGCAAATGCACTCGCCGCTAATATTCATAGCATAATGGCAGCGTTTAGTCTAGACTGGCGACGATGTGGGTGACGGTGACGCTGTCGAGCGGCGGTGTGCATACACAGTCGTACGTAGCGCTGTGCATGTCCCGAGGGAAACGTCCCCACCCGTAAAACTATCCGGTGCTTTCGCCTCCCCACGAAAAAAATCCTTTCCTATTTCGTTGATGGCGCGCTGGTGTCCGTCTGGTCATTTCTCCACGCCGCTCACATATGGTTGCTAGCTTCTTACGGGCTCGTGGGCGGAACGTTAACGGCGTGGGAGGCAGTCTGGAGCTGTTGGCGTTGCGTGTGTGCGGGGGAGCAGGAATCACCTGGCTTTTGGCAATGTTAGCGTTGAGAGGCGACGCGCCATCGGAAGCGTGCGCGCATTATTGGCACACGCTCGCCGTATCGCGCGTGCTATAGCGTGCGTGGGCGCGCCAGCGATGCTAATCGCTTTATACCTGCACCACGACCACTTCACATAGCAACAGGCTGTACCACACACCTATATATATATATATATATAATTACTACTGGGTACAGAGTCTATTATTCTTGTCTTCTGTCAATAAATTTTTTTATACGGTTTTTAGTCACCGTCACGCGGTGGTTGCTTGTGACCTTATTCATAACAACCGTAATGTCGGATCTAATAAGTGAGGGCGGCGTGTGTGGGGGGACGTGAAAATTAATATTCTCTCAAACTGGCATACAGAACTAATATTGAACATCTGTTTGTGTATTATTTATTATTCACCGCATTTCGAGTGCAGTAAAGAGATGACAATAACTATTTCCATTTGTGTGATCAGGAATAGGTAATATAGATACGCGTAATAGATAATATCAAGAGTACATAATAGGAGATCTCTATTATGGACTCTTGATAATATAGATTAGATTTTATCTACTGATAAATAAATAAATATATATATATGTGTGTGTGTGTGTGTGCGTGCGTGCGTGCGTGCGTGCGTGCGTGCGTGCGTGCGTGCGCCTGAGTCGAGTGTGTTATCGGTAGTAAAATATAGGGTATGCATTAGATATGCAATATAGGGTAGCTTTCCTCATACTACTAAGAAATCAATGCCAAGAAATACATTTACATATATTACATCACTACCAAGAAATCAATGTGTGTGCGTGCGTGCGTGTAAATTATATTGCGTGCAAAATTTCGTTGTTTTATTGTTTTAAAAACTGCCGGTGATCGCGCGCCTCCAATGCCGATGCAGCAACTATATGTCCATCCACTATGCAATTTTTCAGCCACAGGCTACAGACCGAGGATGTTTGTTGGGGAGGGATTGCAATATCTGATAGTTCACTATTAGTCAAAGTAAGATTATACATATATTTATTGGATACAAATCATCGTTCAGTTAAATAGCAGTTGGGTTATAATTTATATAATTACACTTTTGTAATTAACTAGCTCCCGGTTTGAAACGTGTAAAATAAAAATTCAAAAGTGCAACTTCATTAGGGGTGTAGCTCAGCTGTGAAGTGTTACGGCAGCGGCTATAATTCATGTAGGTTATACTGGGTTTTTTTTCCAATACGTATCATAATATGCCATAAATGTTTGACAATTCTTCCATGGCAACGTGGGTGAAATTATTTTAAACTTGAGCTGTTAAACGTTTACTTTTGTTAATAAAGTAACTTAGTAGAGAAGCACTTAGTGTAAAAGGATGCTTCGCGCTGAATAAAGCAGGTGCTCAGAAACAACCGGTAAAAATTAATCTGCTAGTACATGTCGTATATGTCGTACACGTCGTATCTCTCGCAATTTAAATTTTTACGTATTATACGTACATAGCGTTCTATACGCGACTCTCACACCGGTATGCTCGTTTTGATGCACTATACGTAGTATTGCCGAGTAGTGAGTAATGCAGTGAGCTGCCACTTTATAATTTTTGTGAAGTATTATACTTTTTTTTAAGAAAATATACTTTTTATACTTTTTTCATGCATAAATACTTTTAAATGCTTTTTTTTGGCTTTTAAAAGATGGTCAAAACTCTTCGGACTTACATTTAGGTACACTGTATTTGATGAGATTAAAGATGTGCTTTGCTATAGTCTTGTTGCAGGAGTGATGTGTGCTCTGTTCACTCGTGTGTTTTTCCTCTCAGCTCTCTGCTGTCAGTGACCAAATGGCAGACCATTGCAGTGTTTCCCCTGCATTGACACGAGCGAGGTGGGTCGCCTCGCTCAAATTCTCAGCCGCCACACAGAAATTTGTCCAAAACACTGCCTCGCTGACGAAACTTTTGATAACTTGAAAACGAGATTCAAGAGTCTTATACAATAATCATGTCCAGAATAGCTTAGAATGCACCAAATTGCACCATTTTTTTCAAAATAGACCCCGGACCCCCTAGCTTTGCTCCGAGAATGAATGGGAGAGGGAGTGAAAATAAAAAGCGACAGCCAGGCGGGTGACTCAATAGATGTCAGGGTTTGGTGAAAGGGGGCACCACGCGTGGGTACTGCCACCTGGAAATAGTAACCTGATACATGCGGTGCCAGAAACCAGTGCATATATGGACAACGAACGTTACAATTAGTTATAATAGGCCAGCTATGAAATTCTGATTCATTAATTCAGCAACATGCGGATATGTACGCGATTTGATGGCCCCGATGTCAAGTGACTAACTGTCATCGATGTTGCCTCTACACTCGCGCGTGTATACATGCAGAATGTGTTTTAGTCGAACAAAACTACGGCGGAATAATCGCGAGCTTGGAGTAAACTACTTTAAACCTGTTTCCAGAAAAACATTAAAGCGTAGGCTATGTTATCAGATACGCCTGTACTGACACGGTTTGATATATACTGTCGTCTGGGAACGTCTGCGCTTTATGTACGTCTGCCAGCTTTCCCATAAACACCAGCGAAGTGTATGAATTTGCAATAAATTGAAATTTAAAAATCAACGCCTATTCGCAACGAACCTGTAATAATAAGCCCACTTCACAGACCAGACGGTGACGACACAAGCATGTCTGACGGCGTGTTGCGCAATAGTGAACGAACCGGCGAGAGTTCAATGCACTCGGTTTTACGCGTTCGCCATCGCAGTCTGCCGTATGTACAGGCGCATATACATACACTTACACATAGACACGCGCACGAACACGAGCACGATCACACATAACAACGCGTTTCATGTGAATGAACCTGTGAATGCGCTAAGAATGATATATAAGTGACCAAAAAAATTCGTTTGGAATAAACTTTTTGTTTTTATTCAGACGTATTATTCATGGGGGTGTTTATTGACGCACGCATGCACGCGCACGCCGCTGTCATGCACGCAGACGACCGTAGTGCAGCCGACAGTTGTGCAGCCGACCGTAGTGCAGCCGACAGTAGTGCTGTCGACCGTAATGGAGCCGACCGTAGTGCAGCCGACGCGGGGCAGTGGGAGACCCGCCGTCTGGGTCATCTACCTACAGCTGCTGCTACTCGTAGCTAGCTAGCCCTATTATTTGTCTCAATAACACGGAATGCGCAGACGATAAACACGGCGGCGCGCTCGCCGACGAGTGTCTGGCTGCGTCTACGCGCCGTAGACTGTAGTACCTACTTACTATATGTCTTGCCCCGTACAGCAGCGGAGTGAAACTACGTCAAGGTCGTTACGTATAAACGTACAATATAAGCACAGATATTAATGATGTTCGGATTATAAATGTCGCGGCGCATCGCCGTACGGCGTTTCCACTGTTGCTGTAGGGACGATGACGCGTTGCTAAAAAAACAAAACAAGTAAATGTCATTTACAGTCACGTAAACAACATTCGGTATTTCTTCTGGGTGAAATATACACATCTCCAATGAATACAATAACAATGTAATTTGCAGCCGCATAAACAATACGCAATACATTTTGTTTTGTGAGTAAAATTCGCAAAATCTCCAAGACGTGCAGAAAATCTCATTTAATGTCTGTCACGCTAACAATACGTGACAGCCTCTCGTGCATCTCTAAAACATGCACACACACACAAATCATTTACTGTCACACAGATAATGTGCGAAACGTTTTTGAATTCGTGTATCTATAAGAAATGTCAAAACAACAATGTCACACACACACACGC